TCACTCTCCACCTGTGGTCCGTTTTCGTTGTGATCATATATACACACACACACACACACACACACACACACAAAGCAGAAACCCTCTAGCTAAGCCATCAACTAGGTGCAGTTTCCAGCTCTGGTAGTTCCTGCATTACCATGGGCAGGTTACTGATTCTCCCTCTCAGCTGCTCATGTCCCCATCTAGAGAGTGAAATTAATGTTTCCCTTATGGGGCCTGTTACACCTACACAGAATGTGTCAGATAGCTCTCACACCTTCTTTACAAGACACACAGCAGAGGGAAACCAGTCCATACAGATAATGTTGGCACATTAAAGCAAGCAGTGTGTTTCTTTGACAGGGATGTGTTCTGGACAGCAGGACTGAAATGACATTCCAATACCTAATCAGTTATCCGCCCTTGTCTGTACTTTTAGAGAGTTCATAAAAGTAGAATATTTTGTTGGCCAGCTAAACCAGTGTTCTGAGCAACAGCAAACCCTCTGTTTTGGTTTTACATTGAATTCTACCCATGGGATTGCTTCCTGTTATCATCCATCTCAGTCTAGCCTGCTCTAGGTTTAGATTACTAAATGCAGAAGTCTACAGTAACACCACAGCTTTAAATCTGAGAAGTTTTGAGATAGGGTTTGGAAGTCAGACCTTTGCATGCCACCTGTACACACAATTGTCTCCTGGTCCACAACCCCCTAGATAAATATCTTTGGAACACCCATAGCCTTATCTTGTTCTAGAAGGCAGAATACAAATAATTGACTGGATATAACAGCACTTTGAGGTCCTGATATCTGCTGGGGCCTCTGTGTGCTAAGTGTAATACTAACAGTTGGACTCTGCCTTGAAGAACAGAAAACAAAGGGTGGAAGAGAAAATAGACAAAACAACTCAAGATCACAGTAATTCAATCTGGAAGTAGAATCCCACCCATTGCCCGTCCATACTTTTTACAGTGAGTAGTTGGAATTCAAGTAACTGAAGTGTTGGCTGGCGACTTGAGTGCTATTAAACACCCTTTTAATATCTGAAGTATTTGGATGCACTACTACATAGTTAGTGTAATTTACTTTTGCACACTCACCTTTGGCTTTGCACAGAGACCAAAGTCTATCAGCTTCAAGTTATGCTCCGCATCAATCAGCAAGTTCTCCTGAAGAAAAGGAGAGTGGTGGTAATGAGGGCACTTTACAGGATAACCCAGCCACAGGAGGATTTAGTTTTCCCCCTCATATCTTCTAGCTATCAATCAGTGCTGTCCACCATCCTCCCCCAGTCCTTACCATCATCCTTTTGGCCATCGGCCCATCTCTTCTAATGGCTACAAGCAATGCTCAGCCTCTTCCCCAGATGATATCTTTTGATACCAACATTTCATACATTGTCCAGTAAGCTGTCATGCACTGAAGTTCCTCCCCTAGGGATTTCATCCTCTTCAAAGTGTTCTAATCAGTCCATAAATACAAAACGAGTTCCTATAATGAGTGCTTGTTGAAGAAGTGGGTTTCCTAATAAGTCATAGGGTGAGGACAGCAGGATATTTCCCACCACACCCTCTTAATGTCACCAATTAGGAGATCTCAGCAGCACAAGTGCCATGTTCTGCTTCAGTTGAAAACAGTGATATGGAGGGGCAGCAAGGGTATGATTTGCTATTAGAAGTGGAATACGGAGCAAAGGGAAGAACAGACTGACTGGAGCTAGCTTGAAGTCTGGAGTTGAGTAGTAAGTGTGCCCTTGTTCATTGTAAGTAAACTTTCTCCCTCCTGATGCTGATCTTCAGTGATCCACTTCTGAAACAGCATTTACAGGCTCCAGAGGGAGCCATATACAACTCTCAGCCAAAATAGGCATGCCATAGAATAGAACTGGCTGGAAAAAAAAATATAATATATATATATATATAGTATATATATATATATATATATATATATATATATATATATATATATATATATATATATATATATATATATATATATATATATATATATATATATATATATATATATATATATATATCATCTTCTTGTATAATTTTTATTTCTAGTGCATGTTTATTTGAAAAATCCTGTTCATTTTCAAAAGAACAGGCTTGATATGTTGGTTTACTCACTGTTAGTGTTACCATACATCCGGATTTTCCCGGACATGTCCGGCTTTTTGGTCCTCAAATCCCTGTCCGGGGGGCAGGGCCGGCTCTAACTTTTTTTGCTGCCACCGCTGCGGGGGAATCCGCCTGCAGCTCCCCCCCAGACACCTCAGCTCTGTGCAGCTGAAGAGCGGAGCTGCCCGAGCGCTACCGGCTTCATGGTTTGCCGGGCAGCCCCCAGACCTCCAGACCCTGCACCCCCGGCCGGGCGCTTCCCCTCCTGGGCTTCGGCTGCGCTGGGGTAGTGCCCGGCTAGGGGCACAGGGTCTGGAGGTCTGGGGGCTGCCTGGCAAACCGTGAAGCCGGTAGCGCTCGGGCAGCTGTTTCGTGTGGCTGGGAGGGAGGAGGGGGAATGCGGGGCACTCAGGGGAGGGGGTGGAGTTGGGGCAGGGAAGGGGCGGAGTTGGGGCAGGGTGGGGAAGGGGCGGGGCCAGAGCCCGTGGAGTGTCCTCTTTTTTTAATGTTTAAAGATGGTAACCCTACTCACTGTCTGTGCAGTGACATTTTAATACTTACAATGGAGTTTTTTTTAAGTAATTCTCTTTCAAAGAAGTGCTGGGTGCAACTAGTTTGTATAGCAGGTATTTACTAGTCCCCTCTAAAGTTAAGTTTGCAAAACTGATCCTACTATTATCCCCTGTTTTGCCTGCTCATAACTTTTTGAAACATTCACCCTTGGACCTGAAGTTTTTCATGTTTATTCTCTACCTGAAAGGAAGCTTTTAGAAGTTTGAGCAAAATCTCTTCAGCTGTTTTTGCATTATGGACAAGTGGAGTGCGGAGACGGTAAGAGCCTTCTCACTGTTAAATGTTCTGACCACATTTTTTTAAACCAGGCTAGCTACAGAAAAAAGAATTACGAAACTTCCATAGCTTGAAAAAAGCTCTAAGTGTTGCAGAAGGCACAGCTGTTATATGGTGGTGTTGTGAAACCAGTCTGCTGTGTGGCCACAACTCAACCACATTTCTTGTAACTGGGTTACATGGGGGCCACAAGCTGGTTACAAAAACACAGTTCTATTTAAAGTGTTGGCAGGGATGAAGCCTGGTCTCTTTTAGCAGCTGATCAAGGTCTTAATATTGTGCTGGTCTGATCTATCATTTCCTACGCACAGAACACTTGAACAGCTTCTTAACCTACAGCTCTGACTCTGCTCCAGCTCTTCGAGACAATTCCATACAGGGCCGGCTCTAGGCACTAGCAAAACAAGCTGGTGCTTGGGGCGGCACATTTTTGAGGGGCGGCATTCTAGCGCGGGCCCTGCCGCCCCTAAAAATGTGCCCCGGCTGCCCTAACTCACCTCCGCTGCTGCCGCTCGCGCCACTGCTCGCCCTCCCTCCCAGGTTTGAGAGCCTGGGAGGGAGGTGGAGACCCCGAGTGGCCGCGGCACACACGCTGCTTCTCCCTTTCCCTCCCTCCCTCCCTCCTAGGCTTGAGAGCCTGTGGGGAGGAGGCAGGGCTGGGGATTTGGGGAAGGGGTGGTGTTGAGGCGGGGCCGGGGGTGGGGTAAGAAAAAAACGGGGGGGGGGGCGGCCAAAATTGTTTTTGCTTGGGGCGGCAAAAATCCTAGAGCCGGCCCTGATTCCATAACATAGAGCTCGGATGCTCTTGAAATGTCATTACTTAGATTAGTAATGCAAATACGATTCTAATGTTCATTATCCAAAATTAAAAATCAGCTGCCATCTTTTCTGGTGTACATTTAATGGGCTGCTGGCAAGGGCCACGAGCTTAGATGTAGAGGAGCATTACTGCTAAAGTGCCTTAGGAATGGCTGTTCCCAGGGGTTACCATTCTAATTAGGGATTGTAAAAACTCAAATTAAATAGGTCAGTATAGATTATGATTGTATACTAGCAGGCTGATATTATCATAGGGCCCTTTATGTAATGAATAGCAAAAGAGAGTCAACTGTGGAAGGAACAGTTTAGACTGCGGCATTATTCAACTGCTTTTGTTCCTACAAAGAATGCTTTCGGGCTCTCAATTCTGAATCTGTAGCAAGTCTGTGATCATTCAGTGGTGACGAATAGTGAAAATTAACATGTAGTTAGACATCTTTCTACGTAACTATCATGTTTCAGCTCCATTTCCCTTCTTCTCCCTCCCCTCCACTCCCATTCCCCACTCCGCTGTTGACCTCATTTAGTGCCCTGCTTCATGACAACCTGTCTGACTTCTGGCTGAGTTCTGGAGCCTCTGAAAACTTTTCCTAGGGATGATCAGAGGGGGGTCCCTCAGGCAACCAAAGGATTCTATCCTACAGAGAGGCTACGTGCACAGCTGTCACAGCATACCCAGCCCAAGGAGCACAAGATGTTCAGATGACCATCTTCAGCTACTCACACAGTGAAACACAGCTTATTGCATCTGCACCCTGAATATGCAGATATAGGATCAGCCTTCCGGGTGGTAACAGCCACCTGATGAAATGTCAGATCGGTTCCTAAATTACAAGGATCCTCAGCATTGTCAGGGAAGAATGAGTCCCTCCACTACAGGAGTAACTGGGTAACATTCAACGGCCTATGTTATGCAGAAGCTCAGGCTAGACGATTTCAACAGTCTCTTCTGCCCTTAAAATAAATCTGTGAAAAACAAGCCCAACGTCTTGTTGTTACTAGATTTCTAAGAAGCGAGAGGTTTCATTCCAAAATATCCATGAAAGGTGGATTTCTGTGCCAGAGGCGTCAAGAGATTCTAAATCTAACCCGGATTGCCGTGACTTGATCACAAGTTGCATTCCTATTGTGGTTTTTATGACAATTAGCCCATTATTTCAAAATCATCCTGGTGTTTTCAGCCAGCTGGAAAGTATGGGTTTTGAAATCAATGCCAACATTGAAAGAAAACAGACAAAAGAAGAAAATGTTTCTGGAAGAAAATGCCCATGGCATCTCACAGCATTGCCTAGCCTCACTGCAGCAAGCAGCTCAAACTGGAACCCTGAAGACATATGGATACCATAGGCTATGGATTACCTAGGGTGACACTCCCTCCCACCCCACAACGAAACAAAAACCACACCTATATTAGCTTATTTTTACCTAAAGCAATAGCAGGTGAGGTAAGGAAAGAGGAACATATTGTTGTTGATTGCCCCGAACCACTGTATGTGACATAATGCAGCAGAATTTACATCATGTAACTCAGGGCAGCCAGACACGGCAGGACTTCAAGTGTTTGAGTGACATTTAAACTTGTTTTGATCCAGACCACACTTGACAACCCCAATAACCCTGACAGTGAGACCTATGGCTGCTCCTGAACCTTGGCTCCTGGGCAGCAACGTGCATTGTTGCTCCTACACTGTTAGGTCATCTGGAGGTTAGCCTCTTATTCACCTTATAAATAGATCCACACAGGGAGAATGTATTCACTCTCTTATTTAGAGTGACAGACTAGAATAGAACATAAGGTAGGATTCTGAGATGTAGCTGGCAGAAGACTAAAATAATAGATTTGACAATCGATGACTGTTTAAACCCTTGTCACAAAAATTATTTATGACTAGTCACAATCATTACAGCGCTTAAACACCCCTCCACACTAACACATTTACTTCAATACAGAGATTTGAAAGGCTGAAAAGCAAATGGTGACTCAGCACTTTAGACGGGAAATTAAATTACAAGAAGCCAGAAAAAGGACCAGCAAACTGGGTACAACCTCTGGGTACAAAAACAGAATGCAGCGTTCCAGGCTGCACATGCTGGCACATCCCACCCCAAGACTAACCATTTTGAAAGTACAAAGAGACAGAGGAAAAGAAGCCATAGCAGGCAGACAGATGCCAAGGTGATGGGAGAAGCCAGATTGATTAGATTAGGTAATAAGGTTTCCCTGAGCTCAATGTCTCTGTGTTTCCAAAGAGATGCATATAGCCAGCCCACAACACAGAGGGAGAAAGGAAGGATAACGGATGCAGCAGTCTACCTATGACATACTGCTAATGGGTGAGGTATATGAAGCCAGACAGATTGGATTAGATACCAGTGTATGGCTGAGGTCAAGACTAAGGCTCTAGGTTTCTCAAGAGGTG